GTGAGAGCTGTGTTCTTTGGAGGTCTAGAGAATGCAAAGGCTCTCCTCCTGGCTGTGGCTCTCAGATCCTCCTGTGCTGGAGCTTTTGCTGGAGCTCATGGGAACTCTCCCAGGTCATACCATCAGGCCCCCACTGAGGCCTAGGAAGCTGGCACAGCTTCTCCCAGGCAGCCTCAGGGGGTCTCTAGGGGCCCAGGTGAGACATTCACTGGGCTGCCTTAGGAGCTCCAGGGAGTGAAAGTGGCTGCCTGGAACCCTGAGCACCAGGTGTTTACCTAGAAATTGTGCTAATCCCACTAATTCCCATGATTTGCACAGACTCTTGGCTGTCTCTTGTCTATCTCTCTGGGAGGGGTAGGAAGGGGAAGGCAGCAGCCAGGGATGTTGTGGGTACTGCCTAGGTGCCCCCTCTCACTAGATCAGTGCCCTGAGGGGTACCTGGATCCCAGGTGTTCATGTGTGTACAGCCGTTCCCTGAACTCTGGCATCGGCTGGCAAAGTCTGGGTGCTGGGATTCTGAGTATATATTCCCTTCCCTTTCTAGCACATGCCACATGCCTTGCTCCTGTGGTAGCTTTTCCTCAGAGAAGGACTGGACTGGAGACCTGGCTTCTCTCCCTTCTCCCTCCATGGGGAGAAGCCTTAGGCACACTCTCCTGCCAAGCCAGGGCTTCCTCCTCAGCAATATGAAGGATGTCATCCCCTCTGCCACTTAGCAAAGCCACATGCTGCCACTGCTGAATCTTTGCAGATTGGTGTCTTGAAACAGAATACCAGAGATTCAGCAGTATAAGAGCAGCAGAAGTTTATTCCTCATGGTTGTAGAGGCTGGGAAATTCAAGGTCAAGACTCTAACCTTGGAGTCTTGTGAATACCTGAACCTTGTGGAGAATGCTATTACTAAGAACATCCATGGCCTTTCTTCCTCTTCGTTCTAGTCTTCCTGTGTCCCTCACAGAGCTTGTCATAGTCTCTGCTTTCTCCTTCCTGATGTCACCAGGACTAAAGTCTGGAGGCTCTGAATTGTGTTTAGAGTGGGTTGGCTTGATGTCTTTCAGGAGGCTTGGCCCTTTCTCCCTGGAATTGGAGCTAGGGCTTGATCATCCTGCCCAGATTTGGTCACATGCCCTGACCCTTGGGTGCCTCAAGGTCCTGTTTGTTTTTGGTCCACAGAGACTCAAGCCTCAAAGAAAAAAACTTGGCTTCCTCCTGCACCTGCCTTATCCTCTTGGCAAGAGAACTGAACACCTGCTCAAGTCGACCTAGAGACTGAGGGGTCAATCAGTGAGACTATAAGAAAGCTGCTAGGGGTGTGCTAAAGGGTCTTCATTCAAGGGACAGCTCACTATGGGGCACGGGAGTATAGACAGCTTGGTTCAAGTTGTAGCATAGTCACTATTAGAAGTGTATCTTTGGGCTTGTTACTTCACCTCTCAGAGTATAGGTTTCCTCCTACATACAATGTTTTGAGGATTAAAGGAGCTTACCCTATAAAATGCTTGTGTTCAGTAAATGCTTTGATAGGGGTATGTTGTTACCTGTCAGCTGTCATATTGATTTGTGTTCTATATCCAAATGCAAAGGCTGTTTCAAAGTTGGGCCTACATTCCTTCACCCAAACCTATCAGAGGAAAACCTGGGATGTCTAAAAAACTACTTACATTTAAAAGAGCTGTGAGTTTTTAACTTTAAAGATCCACTTTATTTTATTTTATTTATTTTGTCAGTTGTGGGGCTTGAACTCAGCGCCTAGGCCCTGTCCCTGAGCTCTTTTTGCTCAAGGCTAATGCTGTACCACTTTGAGCCACAGCTTTGTTTCTGGTTTTCTGGTGGTTTATTGAATCTCATAAACTTTCCTGCCTGGGCTGGCTTTGAACCGTAACCCTCAGATTTCAGCCTCTTGAGTAGCTGGGATTACAGGTATAAGTCACCAGCACCTGGCTTAAAAAGCCACTCTTAGAGAGTGACTCTAATCAAGGTGCACTATACACATAAATGGGCATGTTAAATAGAAAACCTTTTGTGCAACAAAGACGTGTGTATGTGTGAGAGAGAGGGGGAGAGAGAGAGAGAGTGTGTGTGTGAGTGCAGGAGAGGGAATTATAGTTGTGATGATGAAGATAATCCAAGGTGTTGAGTAGGGACATAATTGATGGCTGTAGGTCTCTGACCATGTGCTAGCAGGGCCAGGAAGCTTCCTGGAAGAGGCAGCATCTGAGTGATATCTTTAAGGCAGAATTGAGGAGTTCATCAAACACAGAAAGGATGACAGCCTTCCTGTAGTAGCAAGGCCAGCCAAGCCTGGCTTGCAGGTGAGACTGGAGGCCACAAAGTCTCAGTGGGGGTGTGGCTGGAGGAGGAAGTAGTAAGATGGTTTCTAGGAAGATACCCTCCCTAGTCTAGAGCCAAGGATGATTTGGTTAGGATTAAGGGCATAATAGGTGTGTAGGACTTTGGAGGGAAGATACAGTGCCTGGCAGCCAGCTGTGGAGATGCTCTGGGAGCTTAGTGATGATGATCATAGCCTACAGGGTGTAAGAAGAGTTAGGAGAAGAGGAAGGTAACCAAGGTGATGTGGGGAAGGTGACTGTGTGGGTTGGTACCTGCGGCCATGCTATGTGCAGTGAAAGAGTGGATCTGGCCAGGCTGCATTGCTGGCATCCTTTCTGATATCCAAAGTCCAAGGAAATCCATTTTAAACTGGCTGAAATGAGCACACAATGCTTCCTGAATCCTTAGACAAGAGTGTACCCCACAATTCACACAAACCATCAAAGTCTTCTTCTGCCCCTTCTGCCTGAGTTTCTTGAGTTTTCTGGGAAAGAAGCTTGGGAAAGACTGTGGAAGATGGCTAGGTTGGTGCTGACAGACAAAGCCAGGAACCAATCAGGCTGTGGTCCCTCCTCTGCATCCCACCCTACTGTTCTTGTGTATCTGCAGTTCTACAGATTGTGTGGATTTAACAACTAAAATTCTAGAGCCTATCTGGGAAAATTTGGTTTTAAGGCCACTAGAGATGGAGCTGACTGCTGCTTGGTAATCTGCAAGTCCTCTGCCTCCTCCTTTCTCCTCTCCCTCCCTTCTCCCCTGCCCCTCACCCTTACACTAGCCTTTTTCCAAACAGCAGCCTTGAACCTTTCTGACTCCAGGCTCCATCTTCCTGCTTCTTTGGCAGTCAAACTGATTCCTGATTTCTGCCTCTGAACGTTCTTTCTCCCCTGCTCTGTCTTGGTAAATGAGTCTACCATTCATTCATCCTAGCTCTCAGCCAAAAATACGTCATCTTGAGTGCCACCTCCAAAAACTGTATTATCAGAGTCTGCAAGTGATGAAGCATCCTGCCAAAATGCTCACTTGGACCCATTGCCAGCTGGGAACCTGGGCCCTGTAACTAGCTGCCTGTTCCTGCCTTAACCACAAACCCAACTTTTCCCTTCTATCCAGCTATCCACATTCATCTAGCACCAAGACTGATGGCCATTCCTTCAGATTGTATCTTCCTTTCATCCACTCCACAGCTACTGCCTCTATCTGGACCACCATTATAGCTGAAGTATTAAAGGTTCTCCTGCTCCTAAAGCCTGCTTCCCATGAATGACAGTGTGATCCTTTACACCAAGGGCCATGTCCTGTTTCTCTTCTGCCCCAAGCCTCCAATGCCTGCTCTCCTTTCACCTGGTCTTGGGCTCAGTCTTGCTTTTTGTGTTCCCTTATGCATCCTGTCTGCAGACATCCCCAGACTGGAGTCAGAGCAGTACCTTCTCTCTCTGCCTGTCCTACTCTTTTCTGTCTTTCTCCGTTTGTATTCTATGTCCCTCCCCTCATTGAAATAAAGCCTATCTTTACTTCCCCCCTATGTCTGTATCTTAAGTAAATGATAAACATCTGCTGAATATTTCTGTAGCGTAAGGGACTAGAAGCACTGCTCAAGTGGTAGAGCACCAGCCTGTGAGTGAGGTAGTGAAACCCTGAGTTCAAGCTCCCGGCCTGGTGCAACAAAAGTCTTCTGTACATGATGTGATGTCTAATGCACAAGAGGGCTTCAGAGTATATTGACAAATGAGATGAGTCCTGGATGGCTGGAGGCAGCATGGCAGCTAGGACCTCTCTTCAGAGGACCACTGGGTCTTGTTAGTTTTGTTTTCATTTTCCCGATGATGCTTTCTGATTCATGTGTGTATGTTTGTTCTCAGCTAGATTTCCATTTTCTGAAGCAAAGGCTATGTTTAAAAACGTGTTTTAAACAGCTAGTTCAAGTGGTTTACACCTGTAATCCTATCATAAGGCTGAAATCTAAGGAACACAGTTCAAAGCCAGTGTAGGCAGAAAGGTCTGTGAGATTCATCTCTGATAAACAGCAAAAGACCAGTAGTGGATCTATGGCTCAAGTGGTAGACACAAGCTTTCAGTGAAAAACCTAGGGGTTAGCACCCAGTCCCTGAGTTCAAGCCCCAGAATCGGCGTGTGCATCCTAAGGCTTGAACTCAGGTCTGCGCATTGACCCTGAGCTTTTTTGTCCAAGGCTATCCCTATCACTTGAACTCTACTTCTGGCTTTTTTTTTGGCTACATAATTTAAGGTAAGAGTCTCATGAATTTTCCTGCTTGAGCCAGCTTTGAACCACGATCCTCAGATCTCAGACTCCTGTGTAGCTAGGATTACAGGTGTGAGCCACTGTGCCCAGCCTGCCTGATTCCATTTTTTCATGGTGATTCTTTCTGCTGCTTTAATATTCTCCTGTCAATAGAAACTTGTTGCTTGGATTTTTTTTTCTTAATCTGGATGAAAGACAACCAAAATGTTTGGCTGTTGTCCATTCAGCAGACCCAGCAAATTCTAGGGTGGATAGTTCTCCAAATTAATTAACCCCTCCCTCCCATAATTATTAGAGAGTGAGAATGGAGTTGGTTGCTGTAGAAGCAAGCAGTGGTGTGAATCTGGGCTGGCTCTTCCCAGCTGGTTTGGGTACAGTGTTGGTGAATGTCTTTGTCATCTCTGGCAGGGTCGCCACCCAGGACTATGAGCGGCTGAGATGGAGACGTCTTCCCCAGCCACTTCCTTGGAGAAGAAAGAAGCCAAGAGTGGAATCCTGGAGGGCAGCGGTTTTCCCGACCCGGGTAAAAAGGCCTGTCCTCTTGCTGTGGCGGCTGCAGCGGCTGTAGCTGCCCAAGGAGGTACTTTCTGTTTTGTGCACACTTGAAGAACAGCAGGGGTGTTTTTCATTAGCCTGTTAGGATTTAATGAGAGTGTTGGCCTCTGTCATAAGGGAGGTACTTGGGGTTTATGGAGGGTGGTAAGGAAGGCCCCCCTGCTCCTAGGAATCTCAGGCCTTGTGACCATCACCTGCAAGTTTTCTTGGAGGTCTGGCAACTCCCATCACTGGACACTAGGCCATCTAGGACCCTGGTGGGTGGGACTGAGCAGGGGTGGGGGAGGGGAAGAAATGTAGGCTCAGCGGGCTGTTGGGTGAGTCTGGGGTGTGCCCAGCTGGCACATGTGAGGTATGCCCAGAGAACTTCTTGCCTCTTGCCCGCTGAGGACTATTTCGGAGAGTAATTGTCTCCTGATGCCTTCTGGCTGTAATTAGAGGGTCAGGTATGGAATTTAGTATCTTAGGTGAATTTCTGGCCAACTTAATTATAGCAGAAGGGACTACACGAGCCACAGCCTCTCATTTTACTGCCCCGAAGAGAAATGTTCTCTGCTTTCCACTGGTCCGTGCCAGTTTCCCGGTGGGAGAGTTTGGCGGGAAGGCAAGACCTCCCCTCATCACTGTGCCGTCCATCTGGAGGCCACAGAACTATTTCTGTCTCTGAGGAACAGAGAGGCTGGGATTTCTTTTCTTTCCCTTCTTATTCAAGTGCATTTAGTCATGCCCTGCTGCCCTCACTGCCCAAGCGGAGCTTAGCACAAGAGAGGGAAGAAAACGTGCCTTTCTTCACACTTTGATGAGTGCATAATCACTGGGTCTTATTAAAGTACAGACCCTGAGTCAGACCCTGGGGTGAGATTGAATTTGTGTGCTTCTCTCCAGCACCAATGGTGTGTCACTAGTCTTTGGGCCACAGTGGGTATGGCTGGGGACAGAGCTTGGGTACATGGAAGGACTTTGGAGAGTGTTGGAGTCGTATTTGTCAGAATGAAGTGGAGGACCTTTAGGTCATTGTTTGTTAAGTTTGTTTGTTTATTTGAGACAGTACTGGGGCTTGAACTCAAGGCCTGGGTACTCTCCCTTAGCTTTTTCATTCAAGGCTGACATTCTACCACTTGAATGACATCTCCACTTCTGGCTTTTTGCTGGTTCATTGTTGATAAGAGTTTGACAAACTTTCCTGTTCAAATTGGCTTCTAGCCTTAGTCCTCAGGTCTCAGCTTCCTGAATAGCTAGGATTACAGGTGTGAGCCACCAGTGCCTGGCAATATATGTATTTTTATTTTGCTTCTGATTGTAAGTCTTCATTAAGTTTTTGGTTCAAGCCAGAAGAGAGAGATTTGAAGTCAGTCTGGGAGGTAGGCCTCTGGCCTCTGACCTTGGCAGGGCCTCTCTAGGCCTCTTAAGTCTGTGGGGAGGGGATTTCAGGGGCTGGGAGAACAGCCAAAACTGTTAAGAAGAGCCTAGACCCAGGTGCCACAGGAAGGGAAAAAGGGAGGGGGAGGGGGAAGGAGAGTGAGAAAGAGAGGGAGAGAGAGAAGTGGAGATGGTATCCCAGCAGTCCAGGCCAGGTGGTTTATAATGGTGCCTCAGGCTGTCCTTCTGCCTGATTGTCTAGGTCTGAGCTCCTGGTTGCCCAGGAACCTGACTTCAGTGGCCTTGCATCTCCAGTGTGCAGTGTAATTCAGTGATTGGTCATGGCAATAGAAAACAGACTTAGGCAATAATTAGAGAATAATTAGACTGCCGTTGGAGGGGAAAGCCTCATCAGACCTGGTTGTTGCATTAGAGCAACAAATGCTTAAGGACTTCTCCAGTAGAGGCTCAAAGCATGGAGCAAGTAGGTCCAGGGAAGTGGCTTTTCCAGCTCTGCCTTCTCTAGGATGCCCAGGGCATCTAGGCTGATGGCATTAGGCACAGAGCAGATTTGACCCACAAGAGCAGGCAACTTGCTGGCCATGCAGGCCTTTCAGGCTAGGTTCATGTGTGGCTGGGGAGTCAAAGGGAGGTCCATAATGTCCTCCATCTCTGCTCCCTGCCCCTGTCTCTGAGCAGCTAATCTGGGAGTGAAGAAGTGTAGCTGTTTGTGAGTAGACATAGCTGACACTGTCTGCCAGAGCCCAAGTAGCAAAGCTGGGTGGGTCTCCACAGTGGCTGCAGTGGAGGATTGGAAGTCCACTAGTACACACTCCCTGGGCCTGGCTTTCCTGATTCAGTTTGTGAGAGGACTGGACAGATGTTATCCACTGTCTTTAGGATCTCAGGAACTTGTTCTTCCAGAAATCCTCCTGGTTGGAAGCAAAGATGTTATGAGCAAGACCCCCAGTTTAATCAGACACTTGAGTAGCAAGGAGCTTCAGAGTCTGCAGGCCTGTCTCCCCAAGAGTGTGGGGCAAATACATGAAGCCGGAGTCAGGCATTGGCAGGTGGTTTCTTAAACACTAGAGTGGTGTAGAAGAAAATGTGGGTAGGTGAGGAGCAGAGCCAAGGAGGGCAGCACATGGAGCCAGAAGCATTTGTTTCAGCCCCTGAATCTGATGCTTGGCCAGCTGGCACAGGGCTGCTGGTGGATGAGGGTGAGGAGGGATGTGAGGCTACACAAAGGCCTGAGAGAAGACAGCATTTGGGGGAGCATGTTGGGCTGTAGGAAAAATGCAGGAAGCTGGTCTGGGACAGCTGAGGCATGAGTGAACTAGTTTCTAGGATCTGCTTAGGTGACCACTCAGTCATCTAGCTCCTTTTTGGCTCAGTTGGCTCCTTCAAAACTTGTACATTGTTCCCTAGAGTTGGCCCCAGGATAGGCAACATCTGGCTGCAAGGGACAGTTTAGGAGTCAGTGGATGGGTGGGTTCTGTCTGTGGATGGCAGAAGCATTGTGATAAGGAATAGGTTGTTATGAAAAAGGGCCAATTCTTCAAACTGTCAGTGACTATAAGGTGCCCCATACTGGGGACATGCTATATTCCGAGCTATTTTCCCTAGCCTCATATGGTCACTTCTTGGTTCCTGGTGTCCTCATCCCACTTGTAGAGCTATATGACTTTGGTGATTCTAACTGGAACATACTCTCAGGCAGAAAGATTTCCTTCAGGCAGAAAGGGTGGTCACATAACTTATATCTGTGAAAACTGAAACTATTTATGGATGGGGTTGATTAATCAAACTGGAATGTTTAGAGAAGGATATTAGGAGTTCATTGAAAATATTAATCAAGGGCTACTCAAGAGGTAGAGATAGGAGAATCAAGGTCCAAGCTAGCAAAGTTAGCTTTGACACCTTATCTGAAAAACAAGCTAAAGCAAAAGGGAGTGACCCAAGTGGTAGAGCCTGAGTTCAATCCTCAGTACTGGAAAAAGAAAACAGTGAAACAAAACAAAACAAACAGAAGGAAAATATTTATTAAGACTTCACAAACACTTGAGGGAGAACATGTTTGTGTTGGAATATGAAGGAAATGAAGCAAGATATGGCTGATGAGGAACTCCGTTAGAAGCGAGGTAGAACTGAAAGTGAGGAGGCCAGAGCCCAAGTAACAAAGCTGGGAACACTGAGGTGGGGACTCCTAATTCACCAATAAATGGAGCCTCCACCTCCCAGAGGACCAGGTGGAAATGGGACTGGCCTAGGGCCACCAGCTGCCTCAGCAGACATCTGGGCCTGGACTTAGGGTTTGAGTACATTTCTGGTACAGTCATCCCTCCATAAGCTCAGTACTCCTTTCTCTTGGACCCACCCTGTTTCTGCCCCATGCTTTGGCTCTGGAAGTGGGGACAAAGGATGGACACCTCTAACCCCCAAATGTGGTCTAGCTTTGGGAATTTCAAGACCCCTGTAGATACCAAAATCTGAAGATGAGCAAATCTCTTACAGCAGATGGTGTAGTATTCACATTTAACCTATGCATCTACTTTTAATTTTTCTCTAGCTACTTATAATACCATATAAGATGCAAATGCTACTTAAGTAGTTATTACAAGAATGTTTCTGCCTTTCTTGTCTTCCCACCCTGCTTTCCAGAATATTTTCTAACTGTTATTGGCTCAATCTGTAGACTGTATTTTCTTTTAGATCATTACTTTAGACTATTTGGAAGGAACTGGGACTGTAATTGGGACCCAGACCCACCATATGGTATAAATATGGTGATATTTACTATGGTATTATATCAGTGTTGGAAAGGCCTTCCCGGTGTCACTGTGCCTCAGTTCCCTTACCGGTTCTGGGGCTGCAAGCATCTGTTCACTTGAAGATAGAGAGTTCTTTGGTGTGTGGGGCCATGGTATAGTTGCAAAGTTCCCTGGCTCCACTGGCCTCTGCTGCTTGATTTCCCTAGGAATTCCTGAGACTGGACCTGTTCAGGGCTGAACATTCCCGTCAGTCTCCCTTCCCTGAGTAAAGCATGCATGGGAAACCTGTCTGGGAAAGGCTGGGAAAGGGTTCATTTCATCATCTGGTTTGTAAGAGTTGTGGCAGAAGCCTCCAGGGTGGCTTTTTCTCAGCCTCTTCAGCTGTTGTACTTACCCTTTGGAGTCTATAAATCTTTAAAAAACACATTTTGACTCGGAGTTTTCTCCCCTCTAATTTTTAGAATGGTATAATTTTAAAGGCAATTTGAGTCAGATGTTTCTCATTGCTATACACTGAAACCATCCAAAAGCTGTCATATTTTCCTCCTTCACTGTGGGGTTTCCTTCCCCCAAAATGTTGCTGAACCTCTTTGTGTGCTTCATTGGAGGACCAGGGATTGGGTTGCTCTAAGCCTGGAGTCAATCTTGAAACTTAGAGCTCATGATCTTGCTTATCTCAGAAATCAAGTGGCAAGTCAGACCTTGAAAACCAAAGTTGGTACCAAGGCCCAAACCCACCTCTGACCCTGGGCAAATACTACGTGGCAGCTCTCCCAATATGGCCTCCAGCAGCAGCACTATCCCCAGGGATTATTAGAAGTACCTTTTCTTCTTGCAGAGAGGGTACTGGGGATAGAAGCCAGGGCCCTGTGGATGCTAAATACCCATCCTGCCA